CAAAATCAAAAAAATAACAGAAAAATACTTGATAAAACTCGATACATAAATACGACTACGACTGAAAATAATTTGATCCTATCTTAATATAAATCTAGTGTAACCGTGCCGTCAAAATCGACGACAAGACGGAATCTATTATAAGTAATATATATTATATTGTTAGTAATTTCGTTTAATCCAAGTACGATTTTGTAATTTAAAATAGTTCGTTGTTAACGTTAATAATTGAACCGTGTACAATTTATAAACTCCTACGGAAAGATATACGGATATTATCCTCATAGATGTAACATATTTACAATCAAAATTTACTGCAAAAGTTCCCAAAGTACAATATTTTTTGTATAAAAATTGGAAGGTCTGAGTAAATCTTGAAAGTCCGTAGAATCAATCTGTAATTTCAGTCTGCTTATTTGTCGTCCTACTAAGAGCAACGAATCATGAGATACACTTTTTTTAATTTTTTTTCTCAAGCTATTACCAAATTCCACAAGATATGCTCCGAATCGTAACATAAAAACTACATTAAAACTAATTATTTAATTGTATAAGCTTTTAATTGCTATTTTAAATAATATAAATGAAGTAAGTAGTGTGAATACAAAAAAGAACTCTTTCTTTCTTACAAGAACCCCGCCTCTTTCTTTTAATTATAATTTTTAATGTTTAAAATGAATTTCTAAAAATGAACCAAGCATTCTTGGAGATATATGTAGCGTATTATATACACCCTTTTCGATAGTGATATCAGTACGTGTTTAAGGAACCAAGTTTGCACGGCATCGTTATTTTGCACACTGCCCCTCAATTGTTACACATAAAAAACGTAAATATATATGTGGCGCATTATATATATATAGATGATGTGTTATAGATAGATAGATAGATAGATAGATAGATAGATAGATAGATAGATTATATTGCACACTGCCAATACAACATATCGACTTTCTACACAAAATTACAATGTGCTATAGACTAAAAACAATACAAAATAAAGGCCAGCTGAATGATATAAACAAAGTTTAATGTACACCGGACTTCAAAATTTAGATTTGAAGGAAAAGCGTGCGATGGGTAAATAGTCGCTATTTTATATTTTTAATTTTGCGCATGCGCGTTGTTTGTTTATGATTTTGACGACTACATTAGTAGGGTCAGTTGGGCACCGTCTGTGAGGAAAAGAGCACCATGACGCAATTCACTCGGCCAGAAATTTGGAAACGGAATACTGTACTGCTTGGCATCCGCGCCGGAAGCTCCAGTACGAATATTTTGAGGGTAGTGCAAAGGATGTTGTCCTCAAAAGATATACCGAGAGTGATGAAAACCAAATATGGTGTTGTTTGGAGTGATCACAAGTGATGGTGACGTTATGCTTCTATAGAACTTCAGACTCAATAGGGAGCCCTACATCATGTGCCTTTAGGTAGTAATGCTCTCCTGAGGGTGACTGCTGGAAGACCCTATGTCTGGCAATATAACTCTGCACCATGCCACACAAGCAGGAGAACACAATTATGGCTGTAAGACAATTTCTGTGACCACATCACCTTTTCTTACATCTGGCCACCTAACTCCTCAGGCTGTAAACCCCTTGATTATTGTGTGCGGCGCAGTTGTGCGAAAAATCAACAAAACTCCTTGTAACACCGAAGATGAACTGAAAGCAAGGATTATGGCAGCATTCACCAACTTAAACAAGGAGACTGTCCAGAAGTGATGCAGGAAATTCCGAAGTCGTCTGGAGGTCGTGGTCGAAGTCAATGGCGATTTTATTGAATAAATTTACTAATTTATTAGTATTTTAAGACATTTTTGTATAATTTTGGTAAATATATCTGTTAAAATATGTAATCTGTAATTTGCTAATCGAGTAAGCTTAGTAATTACCTATGTAAATATAACTTGCTAATAGACAATATATATTTCATCATTTGTTGAATTATCTTGTATGTGAAACCATTCGGAAATTTTAAAGAATAAATTGTGTATATCAAACACAGATTCAAGCGATCCACAGATCCTTCAAGTTGCGCATAAGAAAAGTGCGTCTGTTCCTTAATAATAAAAATCAATTAAATTTTAATCGTTACTTTGTTAATTTGTAAATGAAAGTTTAGTCCCTGCATGTAAATCCGAGGTCAAATTGTAATTGATCTTTAATTTCCAAAGAAGCCCAAATATTTTCGACCAACTGGAAACTTTCAAATTCGGAAACAAAATATATTCTAGGGTATAAAATATATCTACCGTGTTTTAAAAAGCTCTTTGCAGACATTAAAATTAGATATGCTTTACTTTATCTCAACAGATTCATGCCTTGTTGTTATACTGCTATGTTTCATCTTAATTGAGTACCCGCCAACTTCTATTTATGAGATAAGAAAGTACTTAACCGATGTACCTTGTGAAAATAATAATGCATTTTTTTATTTATTTATTTATTTATTTTTTTTGCTAAAAGAGTCTCTTCGATCTTAAAGAGGAAATCCCCTTCCTCAGAAAGAAATGAATGTCAGAAATGAATTATGTGCGGTTTTAACTCCTCTTTAAAACTATTTTTACATCGGTTAGAATTAAAATCGAGTAAATATACCGCTTCATAAAATCCAAGTCTTAAATAAAAATTAATCAATCTTTAATATTAATTATTAGAAAAAAGATTCCTCTTTGCATGTAAATTTATATCTGATACGGTTTCGTTTTTTTTATTTATTTTGTTGCTTTCTTCTAAAATTGACCCGTAATGTTGTGCCTTTAAGGATTGGTTCAAAAGAAAGATGCAAATGATAATTAGATATTTTAGAACTTGTCAATAAAGAACATATTCTATACTCTTTAGTGCTAAACAATAATTCGTTTTTAAATACATTTACAACGTCCCTGAAAACTACATTATACAGTGTTTATGTTTATCTATACACACTAATGATAAAAATTCATAGATATTAATATATAATAAGGGCAACATGGGCACCTCAAGGCGGTGTAATGGTTAGCAAGCTTGGCTCGCTAGAACAATTACGACTGAGTAGTGAGTTCGATCCTCACTGGGTGCTCCCTAATTCCGGCCTTGTGCCACATCTAAGCTATGCTTAGAAAATCACTATAATAAGGGCAACATAGAGACTAAAATGACACATGGCAAAACACTATCTTAGCCTATCGCAAGCAGGTAACACAAATCCTGGATTTCATGACGTAAGGCTAGCAAAGTTAACAAAGTCATTAAAAAAACACCTCTTTGTTTTCCCTCCCGACCCTTATTGATTTCATTTAATTGAACACATTTTGTTTCTATCTAATCACTGCTTAATTTTATGCATATTCTTCAGTGGTTATATCCTTGACACGATAAAAAAAAAATATTGCATAACATAGCGTTTACTGTGTCGATATTTCACTCTTGAGAATTAGGAAGAAAATTACAGATACATCGTTGAGTGTTTTTTGCTATAAATATGTAAATCGGTGAGAAAAGATAGGGACCTAATGGAATTCAAATGAATAATAAATTTCACAGTTCAAAATTAAGTGTCAGAAAATGTTTTCTCTATTTTCAAGGATATATATTTTATATTAACATTTATCTGTCATTTAGAGGTCAATTAGGGATTCAAATATTTAATAAACAAAAAGAATTTGACATTTCCATTTCGTAAATGCAAATCTGAAAATATTTTATTCAGGAGAAATTCCAAAATTTTCAGAATTAAACTTGATTTTCTTTTCAAATATTTAAATGTCAAAAATGAAATCTGAATCTGTGATCGGGACATCTTTGCTCCAATAAAGGATTCAATCGAAGAAATCAACTGAACGCTGTTACTACAGAATGCTAGGGAGATTCAACTGTATAAGTCAACTGTCTTGAGCTGTCTGTTGTTCAACTAAAAGTTTGGAAGCCTATCATGCTTCTCAGAATTCACAACCCTTGAAAGATGCCTGATGGAATTTGACGAGTTATCAAGCCATTTCTCCCTCATGACATCGAGGTAACTATCTTCAATGGAATAGGCTAAAATGTTGTGTATTCATTCCCAGAAACCCCATAATCCCAACAGACTTCAATTCTCAGGAATGTTCAACTTGGACATAACCATCAGCGAAGCACAAGATCTCAAAATCGCTGGTTTCAATTTGATTTCATCATACTTTTCGCACAGCAGATGATCAAATCTAACCAGGTTTGTTTTGTATGAACGCTTTGCACCAACTTCTTTGACGTTTATCTTAAAATTATCTTTTATTACACGAACCATTATGAATTATTCTTTAATTTTTTACTAATATGCCATTTATTTTAATTTTTATTGCTTTTCTTCGGCTGTTAGTAAAAAGCGTTGATTGAAAATGAAGAATAAATTTTCCAGTGAGACTTGAACTCGCATCGCTTCATCCTCAGAAAACAAACTAATAGCCTTTCGACTTCCGAGAGATGAAAAAACTCTTGTATGATATGCAAATATTGTAGTGTTTATCGGTGCGAGAAGTGAACTTATTGATTCTAATCAAATCTGTTGCGCTCTCTTTGTCTTTCGGAAAGACATGAATCTGTCTCTTCTCCTAGTTATGGTTGAAATAACAGGTTAAGTTGGGTTCTGTAGCCTTGGATACCATTCGGCCTAGAAGAAGAATTTTATTGAATTCAAAACTGTCGAGAAGGCAACGGGAAAACATTTCACTATCTTTCACAAGAAGGGATGGCAATTCCCAGTTAATATAGAAAGCTATAGTTAATGTGGAAAGCTAAAGTTAATGTGGAAAGCTATAGTTAATGTGGAAAGCTATAGTTAATGTGCAAAGCTATAAGCTCATACGTTCTGAAGGGACATAGTATTAATAAAACAAATATATATACATATACTCACCATGTATGAATTATTAAAAGTTTTACGATTCTATCTTATACTTGCAAAATCCAGAAAAGGACTCAGAAATATGTAGTTACATCTTTAAGTAGTTATGCTATTAATTCACCATAATTCTCAAGGATGAAGCGTAAATCTTTGCTCCGACCATTAAGAGACAAATCTTTACTTAATCCACAAGGTACTGAGGCGTGTAGCTTACAAGGTGGGAAAATCCTTGTCTCTTTGATTTGCTACTGTCCTTCTATTTTCCTTTTCCTCTAAATATAATCTCGAAGGATTCAACAAAAGGATTTTTCTGGCACTAAGTGGCCTAAAATGCGATGATATAAGGCGGTAAGGGGGAAAAGATTTGAAAACATTGTGACCCGATCTTCGCCAGGGTCTTTTTCTTCATTATTACTTTACTTAATCCATTCATTTGGCCTGAATATCTTTCAGCTTTCTATTTGGTTCCATCAATTCCTTTCTGCTGCTGAAATAATTCTTCATAGCTTTCTCTTTTACTTCCTTTTTGACTCTTTAATTTTTCCTCTTTTATTTCATTCTTTTCCTTTTTTTTCTTTTCTTTTTCTTTTCTTTTTCATTTCTCGTTTTGGTCTTCTTTTATGTTCTACTTCCTTCCACCTTTATTTTTTTTTCTTTTCATTCTTTCATTTTTCTTTTGCTTCTTCATTTTCTACCGTTTGTTTTTATGGTACATCATTATTTTTTGATTCCATCTTTCAGCTTCTTTTTCTCTAAATTTATCTCCTGTCTTTTTCTTTCCCTTTTTTTCCTTCTTTTCTCATTTATTTTTTACTTGCTTCCTTTCTGTTATTCTTCCTTTCATATTTCTTTGGCGGGCTTTTTATTCCTTATTTTTCTTTCATTTCTTCATTTTCCCCTTTATTTCTATGTTTTCTCTTATTTTTTCATTTTCTCTGTGGATTAAGATTTTGCTATATTATTTCCTATTTTTCTTCATTTCTTATACTTCCTTTTCTCTTTTATTCCTTTCTTTTTTTTCTTTCTTTCGCTACTGCATTATTCTTTTTTCTTTGCATATTAATTATTTTCATATTTTTCATTCTCTTCATACATTGAATGCATTACCAAATTTCAATAAACAATGTTTGCAAGTTCACGTATAATATTAAACATGAAGCTAAGCAGGTTTCTTTGCAAACATATATTTGCTTCTTTTGTCCACCTTTCCTTCAAATTTCTACGAAAGATTTGAAACCACAGTTTAAGCCCTTTTGCATACAGAATTTGTCAAATTTGGCGATAGTCAAACAACGAAAATAAATCCGATTCGTCTGATTTGGCGTTCATAAATATTCAGCAATGAGGAAATGTTTACTGCTTATGATTAACATTACGGTTGTCGGCTTTAGAGTCAAAGGTGAAAGTTTGTTGTGCATAACATGAATGGAGACGATGACAATATTTAGCTGCGTCGATTGGCTTTAAAGATGACAAGCTGGATATGCAAGAATAGTTTTGAATCTTTTAAGAATTCGTTTTTCATCACTATTCGCTTTGAGGTTTTCATATACACAGTTTAATAGAAACAATTCTGATAGATGCTCGTCTTTTTTTCACTTAATGATTAGAATTTAAATATTTTCGTTTTCATCTGTCCACATAAGCTATTTACTTGAGTTTAAGCTTCCCTATATATTTGACGGTACAATTTCTTCCGTTTTCTTCTTTATTTAAATATATACACTATATATCACAATTCATGGTTTAGTGATATGTAAAATAAATAATTATTTAATTATAATTATTGGAGCCTGAAGGTTTACTTGTCCAATCAAAATCTTGTTCGTTCTATATAGAGGCAAATAAACAGCAATTATTTGCATAAAATGTCCTGAATTTCAAAGAAAATATCTACGTTGCATCTCTTGGCTTTAAAATGGATTGTATGGATAATTTGATGGATAAATGGTAAGTTTTATTAATTTCAGAGCTTGCAACGTCGGCAGGTACCATCGAACTTTGAGGAAGTTCATTGAAGATCTTGGACGCTTCCAGTGTAAGTCTGTTAAGGGCAAGTCGATGACTTTATTTCGCCGATTCGTAACACCTATCAAAATTTTTTTTTTTTTAAATCCGTCTCTGTCAACCTATGAAGATTTTAGTTCTTGTGGCTGTTAGGAAATGTGGAAAAGCATGAGATGTTGGTACCTCAATCAAGTAGCAAAACACGAGAAAGATCATTAAGTCTCTTTTAAAAGTCACTCATCAGGAAAATCGAATGAAATATGAAACAGAATAAATGAGCACTGATTTTTAAATTGTTCTTCTCACTGTGTCATTCAGTGCTAATCTCGATAGACCAGATAGATTGCGGAAAGACCTGATGCCTACTCTTGAAAATCATCTTCATATCTTTAGACGTCAGCAAGGCAGAGGAGGTGTCGCGTTTTTTAGGCAAGGTTTTAGGTAGTGAAATACAAAATGGTGTTAAGATCAGGCGTACATTGAGTTTTTAAAGGCATACGTAGAGCCATGGTTCAAGAAAAGCTATGATGTTTTTTTAAGCACGTCATTGTTCCATCATTCAACGAAATAAAAATTAATGTATACATGAATAAACAGATTTTAATAATACTCAATTGATGAAGTAAAGTTTTTGATTGACCTTAACATGATTGAAAACCTGTGGATAATTCTGAAGAAGAATTTACACTGATGAACAACCAGCAAATATAAACTTAGAAAATCAAAATGCGAAAGGCTTTTTTGGAACATAGTGTATGCATTAATGATGTATTTCGAAATGTGTCGCCATTAAACTGATAATGTTTTCAATATTTTGTTCAAAACATTTGATTTGTAAATTTTCTTCACTTTCTGTAATTAGTATTTTTAATTACATCTTAATGATTCTTGGAATTTTATTAACATGGCCAATAAAACTAAAACTGTTGCTACCATAAATAAAATGTAGTCTGCTGTAAGTTATACGTATTAGGTGATATATACTGTTGTGAATGTTTCAATGGATCCTTTCATTTTTTAAGATGTCATGTCTCTTCAGAACGTAAGTATAATGACTGTTCACAAATTCCATTGATTTATTATTTGTGAATTACCATGACTTCTTCAGAAATATAGTAGAGTGGTTTCCCGTTGCATTCTCTACGGTTTGGACTTAGAGTAGACTTTCTCCTTCACTGGCTGTCACTCAAGACTATAGAGAGCTCAGTCTACCCTGCTATTCAAAACATAGACGCGGAGATGAATGAAACAGACCAGGCCGGTATTCAAATTCGGTTCGCCGATTCCACTCTCTGCACAGATAGCCGTTGTGTTACCTACACACAGCTTCATAAGCTTTCTAAAAATTGTGAAAATTAAGAGTGTTTCATAATGGAAAACGGTTACATAAAACATTTCCTTTCATTCTATATATCTGAACCTGACTTCTCCCTCCTTTCTAGTTCTATATTATGTCTATTTTTTTTTTCAATATTCAGCTGCTCTCTTCTATATTTGCATGAGTTTCATTCGCATTTTGTTCTTTAGCAATCACTTATATTTACTTTCATCTACATTCTTTTATTTCCCTTCTGCTGCTTTATTGTTCATCACTCTCTAATTTCTTTCACGCACAAAACAAAGGCATATATAAGATTAAACATGTAAACTCTGTTCCGTTTTGATCTACTAAACTGAAAGTAGGTAGACAAATGGCGCTTTCATTGCGCTAGCGTTAAAGGATGGTTAAATTAATTTGCTAAGTTAACCAAAGCGCATGGATACGACAACTGATTCTCGGCATTGAATCGCTTAGCAATACCTTGATCCTAAGCATAAGATCGTGTAGCAATACCTTGATCCTAAGCACTTCATGGGTAATACCTATCATTGTGACCATCATAACTGCCTAAATACTCAACGTTATGTATATAAAAACGTCGTGTGTGTGTGTGTGTGTGTGTGTGTGTGTGTGTGTGAATTCATTACTCTCTGTATGTATCGATCCGATCATCTGCACTAATTTCAAATTGTTCCTATTTTTATGATGAACAATGTATGTGCGTGGATGTGTCATGTCGATTTTCTGTCTGTGTGTCATTTTGCCTGTGAGATATTTGTTTAATTGATTGTCAACCCCATCCACAACATTTGTGAAATTGTGATAGCTACCTCCCAATATTCCAACAGAGAAATGCTCCAAGCAATCCTTCAACCACTTCCGCTGAAACTTTTCTCCTTCCGGAAATGATGTGGTAAATTTGGAAGAAAAGAAACATGGCAGGCAAGAGAAAAAAAAGAAAATGAAAGCAACGAAAACTAATCTTCAAGGAATTCTATTTTTGTAAATATTTTTATTTCGAATTTGTTTATGCAATAATTAGCAACTGACAGATTTGAACTTATAACAAAACTATGTGCACGCGAGGCTGTTCATCTGAAAGCACGCGTGTTAGTGTTTTTATGTTCACAAACATAAAATTCTTAGCCCAAATGAAATAATCATACAAATACATTTTTCTCGTTCGATTTATTTTGACAGGAATCTGAATTGGTGTGACTAACAGTCAGTGTTCCATTCGTTCTTAGCAACTGTAGCATTTGCATTTGCGTCGAATTTTTACTGAGAGCAAATACATAATGTACAATTCATATAGATGTGAAATAGAAAACGAATCAAGTAAAAAGATTTTTAATGATGCCTAACTAAAAGCGTGTAAAATAATGGATATCGGCGAGTTATGTTTAAATTCACCGTCAGTCTGTTGCGGTCAATTTCTGTGGGAAGGGAATAAATTTGTCATTTCTCTCCGACTAACTGTAATTTAAACTGCTTGATGGCCTTGGGTAGTAACCACTCTAAGAGAAAGAAAACTTATTCAGAAACCTTAGAGAAAGCAACGGGAAACTAGTATCTCTCTCACATGAATGCATAGCAATTTACAGATAATAAAGAAACATTTGTAGAGATGCTATGATCAACTCACGTCGTTAAGGTAATTAACTTTTTTTTTTTTAAATTGGTTTTTGAATCATTCAAAAAATGCATGGCAATTTAGAAATTCAGTAATGTTTGTAAGAAACTTAAAAGTAGAGGAAAATTCGAAAAGGAGAGAGAGATGATTCAGTTCTTGAATTCTAATTAAAACTTAGTTGAAAATAGATATCTGATACGTCATATTCAGGTGATTGGTGAGAACCAATAATTAAAAGAACAAAAGTCATATTTCAAAATACTAAAATTTGTCTGATTTCAAGTGAAAGTTATCATTCTGTGAATGGTGAAATAATAACTCAAATCATATAAATATCGAAATTTAATTCTTTATTTTCTTGAACATTTGAGAAATATCATGAAAATATGTTGTAACCTAAGGAAGGTTACTGAATAGAATAATCACACGAAGGTTGGTAATGAACTATAATACTTAGGACACAAACAACACATATAAGATTCGCCAGTGGCACGTAGAAGTAGTCAACTGCTAGAAGTGAGTCAAGTGAATTCCACAATGAATCTCCAACTGCAGACCAACATACAGTATTTACTACTGTATTTATGTGAATGGGGATATACCCATTATCGTCCGTAGGTATGCTGCAAAATAGAAATAATGTTTTTATAGATCTGCAGCACTAATTGAGATGCTTTCTGTTGCAATATCATGATACTTACTATAAGATAGCATAATTATCTATTTTACTTTCAATAGTATATTTCCTTATACATAAGTATACATGCATCTAAACATTAGTTTATATGCATGTATGCTTATGGGTTTGTTATGGAAGATCGGTAGTTGTAGTTGCAACACGTCTCTTCTTTCCACGACACAGCTGTTTTCCAAGGGAAAGTCAGGGGCCAATACAGCAAGAGTTGCCACAACGAAATTGAAGATGACATAGAACTGTCATGGGGATCAGGCTCTGGATTTGAATTTAGAGTTGTCACTCTCCTAGTCTGGTTTCCAACTATAGCTACGAAGCCCAGACTTCCCTACTATTTTTGCTTTTCCTTCTCCTAAACTAATTGTCACCCATTCTGTCCTGCATTTGAATGAATATTTACTATCTAAATAAACCTCAAGTGTGTGTGCGTCTATTTGTGTAGGTTTGTGTATGTGTGCAGGAGGAGTTAATGAGACTAATTTGAAAGCCCCGTTATGTTCACTTTTGTTTGAATGCTGTCCTACATACTACAATTACCCATATTAATACTTATTAATTTATATATATAAATTAAATAATTAAGATGTGATCTAGATGTGACCTGATGAACCAGGAAAAATATATTTTCTGGGGAAATAAATTATAGTCATGGAACCTTAAGATTGTCTCTTTCTTAATTATTTAATTAATGTTTGCTATATTTATATAATTACATATAGTTAGTCAATGAAAAATGTTCAATAGTGTGCATTGCTTTAAAAATCATATATGTATATAAGAATTCAGTAAAATCTTATAATGATGCTCCCAAAAAAGTCGTTTTAAACAAAGATTATTTTACCTGGAATATTTAAAAGATACTAAAATAATTAGAACCAGACATAGAAAAAGCAAAGTTATATGGTTTAACCCTTCTTTCTGCCAACTATCTTCTATAAATATTGGTCAATACTTTCTGAAATTGACAAGCATTTTAGAGAAAATAACCCACTAAGTAAAATTTTTAATAGTAAAAACCTTTAAAATTAGCTACTCCTGCACATATTAAACAAATTTTATTACAATAACTTACCAGATCACAAACTCTCTTGTAATTGTAGAACCAAAACAGATGCCCAGTTGGAGGTATATGCAAATCCGAAAATGTTATATACCAAGCATAACATTTTCCCTAAAGAAAATGTAAATAATAAAAAAGTATACATCGGAATTTCCGCTGAGATCTGGAAGCAAACGCTCTACAGTCACAAGCATTCTTTTTCTGACCCTTATTTAAAACATCAAACAGCTCTTTCTAAATGTTTCTGGTGATTAAAGAATAAAAAATTCACCCCACAGATAGAATACAAGATTATAGGTGAATCCCAGACAGCTTCAGAAATAGATGGAATTTGTGTCTGGAAGACAGAAGTAAAATAATTAAATATAAAAATACTAGCCAGGTATTGAACCAAAGGAATGAGATCATATTTAAATATCCCCATAAAAATAGTAATTGTATGACTGAAGAAATAAATGCAAAATAAAATTCTATTTATAGAATAATTTTTATTCTATAAATAGAATTTTATTTCACATGTATTTCTTCAGTCATACCATTACTTTGTATTATTTATACATGCTTTTATTTATGTGTATGCATATGTTTTTGTTTATATATGCGTATATGTGTGCATATATGTGTATGTATATATGTATGTATATATGTATGTATATATATATATATATATGTGCGTGTATGTGTGTATACTTTTTATATGTATATGTGTATGTGCGTGAATATGTATATATATATATATATATATATATATATATATATATATATACGTATGTGTGAGTTCATTATATATGGTTATTATTGTGTATGTATGTGTATATGCATATAAGGGGTATATATATATATATATATATATATATATATATATATATATATATATATATATATATATATTGTGTGGATGTTTATGTGGGGTATATAATTTATGTATGTGAATATGTTTATATATATATATATATATATATATATATATATATATACATGTGTGTGTGTGTATATGTGTGTGTACATGTGTATATATGTATGCATGTGTGTATTTATCTGTATAGGTATGCTTTGTATATATGTGTTTCCTGGTGTGTTTGCATGGATGTGTATATTTTCATATGTTTTTATATGTATATTCCACACACAAACGCACACACGCACATACACACACATATGATGTATTTTATTATTATGAAGATGAATTAGATATAATTAATTTAAGGTTTTTTTTATATAATTTTAATTTTTCACTTACACACACGCACACACACACATACACACACACACACACACACACATATATATATATATATATATATATATATATATATATATGTAATCATGATTTTTATTATGCTGACGTAAATTAGATGCTGACCATATAGATTTTGATTTAATTCCAATTTATTTCACTAGCTGTCACTTGTACTTCCCCTTTCTATCCCTACACATTGTACTGACAACTTGCTTCTCCATTTTCTTTTCCCTACTCCTCTCTTCAATAATGTAAATCCCAAGAAAAGTTTTCTAGGTCAAATAATTTAGACCTTTACTTCTTGTTCTCTTGTGATGTAATATATTGTCTGGATAAATTAAACCATTGTTTTAAATTCGGTCTGATGAGGCAATTATATAAACTTATCTGTAGAAATAAATTTATTACCGAATTCTTCGATGATATGTTATTTTTTTTTGACATATATATATATATATATATATATATATATATATATATATATATATATATATATATATATATTTCTCATAAATACAATACATTAAGCTCTCTTCATGGGACTTTGTAATATTTTATATTAAAAATTAACCTACTTGGAATATCTTAACACTTACGGATTTGATATATATATATATATATATATATATATATATATATATATATATATATGCAAACAAACATCTCAAAATATTCTGCAATTCTTAGATAAGTAATAGGAGTTGATAAATCCCAGTTGCCGAATGCATAATCAGAGAAATAATTTTTTTCTCATTTCTGTTTATCCTTTCGATATCGGTTTCTGGATTTACATGCACTTAAGGATGGTAACATCCCTATTCTTTTTTTTTTTTCATGAAAAGACAAAGAACAATAAAGTAACAGCAGCAATTGCAGGAGACTCGGCCTTGTTTCTTGGCTGGATTCACGCATGCGCAAGCGTATGCCGAAATGAGGCAATATCATCATGGTGTACTCAATAGTTTGAAAAACATTTAGTTATTACCGAAAGAGGAATGAAGAGAGGAGACAGGCTTCGAAGGAAAGAGAAAGATGTAAAGATGTAAAGAAGGTTTGAAAAGCTGTTAGATAAGAAAAGGAGAAATGAAAAGATATGGAAAATGATTTAAGGAAGAAGAAAAGAGTAAGAAAATATGGGGACGCAATTCAGGAAAAGAAAAAGTGAAAATATAACCGGGGAAGATGACTAGAACAAATTGAAAAAGGTAATATAAGTAATAGACAAGTAAGAATGAAGACGGACAAAAATTCTGTTTACGATGACGCTGTAAATCAAGACATTTTGCAACTTTTTATTTTTGTAATTATAACTTAAAGATTCTAGGTATTTTTGCCTATAGTTTTGATATTACTGTATTTGAAATATACATATATAAAGAGTGAGAGAGTCGACACACAAAATCCCATATTTACCATGATTCAAACTTTAATATATGTGTGTATATATTTATATATACTTAGAAATATTCGTTTTAAGATAATATATATGCACACATTCTTCACGTCAGTTGACTTGTTATTTGTCTATGCCTTCAACACATTACACAAGACCACAAAATAACACTTAATAATAGTAGTTGATATTAAATACATATATATGACGAAATACAAAGAAAAACTCCAATATTATTATAAGAAAATACTTTTTAAAAAAGTAAAATTATTTGAAAAATTTATAGTATATTCATCTTTGGACGCTGGGATGTTTTCTCATCCCCAACAGGTACATATCCGTTTTAAATTTGAATTAAATATAAATTGTATATTGTTACAAACCTCTCTATACCTGACATTATTTGTATTTACAAATTATTCATTGCATTAATTAGAATTAGATTTAGAATTATTGGCTGTCTATAAAATGACAGGATGAAATTAATAACTTTTCTATATAGACATTGAGAATGACGAGAGATAATCGAAAATACTCGAATAAAATAATTTTAAAGTATGAACAGTTTATGCGTATATTTGACTCAGATGTGTGATAAATTATATCGAAACAAAAAACGTAATAGAATTCAAACGACATACCTTTAATATATGTAGCTTTAGGATTGAACAACTGTGTTTCCTTCTCGCTTATAATTTTATAAAATTTATTCTGTATCGATGTACATTGATCCAACACATGCACACTTGAAAACGAGAAAATCTTTTGCCCCGATGCTGACATTTACTCTCTCTCTTCCATTTTCACATTATATTAACGTTGTTCAGCCATACTTCATCTTCTGTCGCAATCTCATATACCCCCGCCATCACATCTTACCACCAAGTCTTTCCACTGTCTGTAAATTACAGATTCGTTCCTTGTCTTTCTAACTGCTTGTGATGATACCTCTGTTTGGAACTTAAAAACAGTTATTAAGTGTCCCTGTCAAGAGAGAAACTCCTTCCTTAAACTCCTTTCCGTTTTCCTCTTCCATTTCTTTCTTCATTTGTTTTACATTTTTCTTCTTTTTTATGATCATTCTTTTACTTCTTCTACTCTTCATTCATCTTTTCTGCACTTCCTTGATTCCCTGCGTAGGCCAGAAAAAGTGAGTCCGATAAGGAATCCTTGAAAGATTTCATGAACTTGTGCTGCAGTCACTTACCGCATTCTGTGTTCTGTATAGAATACATATATGGTTCGGGAAAGTTATCAGTCGACTCACTTAAAATCGGAACAAATATGAGAATCTCTTCTTGGTCAGACAGAACTTTTCAGTAATTCAGTATATATATATATATATATATATATATATATGTATGTGTGTGTGTGTGTGTGTGTGTGTGTGTGTGGTCATTTCGAAAAACTGCTGGGTTTGATGGACACGACTAGTCAGTTGTGCATTGATATTGGCAATAGTTGTCAAATAAACATCCTTGGATCAGGTTATGGGTGACCACTTTCTACAGATACCCATGAAGATATATTAAGGAAACTATTATCTGAAAAAAAAACAAATTTCCGATGAATAATTAATTTTTACAAGATTTGTTTTCATGTTTTTAATTTCAATTTAAATAACTTTTTAAGTTTTTAAATATATTTTAATCTTTTAAAATTCTGTCTTTTTCCTTTTTAGATGATATTATTATTAAGTGAAAATTATATTAACTAATCATAAATCAAAAAGCTTAGTAGAAATCATCATATACCAATATTTTTTAAAGAATTTTGAATTTTGTTTCTTGTGTGTAAACGTGCCGATTTTCTATATACGGTTGAATATACACGTCATTATCAGAAAATAAGACCGATAACGATAGTAAATTTATAGCCAAGGTTATTTAAAATTTAATAAAAGATTAGATTACGGAAAAAATTTTCTTAATTTTTTTAAAATTAGTGTGTACTTAAAATTATTAATGGAGATCACATTAATTCAATTTCTTTTTTAATGCTTAAAGCCACCATAGAACAACACTGGATAACCATAAGCTTCTCACCAACTGTCAAAACGGTAAATCCCTTAAATAAACAGCTAATATCTGGTTAAAATGTGCATTTCTACGATATTTTAAACATAAAGTAAATAGTAATTATTGCGAACCAGATTAATAACAAAAAATATATACAAATTATATACGCGTCAAATAAAGTTTCAAAAATGTATATTTTATTTTGAAAGATTTTTTTTTAATTTAACTAAAATTAAACTAAAAAGGACGTTAATTGAGGTAAAAAAAAAACTACTTCCAGTCAATTTAAATCAGTTTCAAATTAATTTTCGAAATACAGCAAAGTGTAATTATTCCTGGAAATAGTACTAAAATAAAAGCTTAAAGAATAACTCCATTTTTAAAAATTAATTTAAAAAAAATTATATATATATATATATACATGCATACATATATATATATACATATATACATGCATATATATATATATATATATATATATATATATATATATATATATATATTTATTTTATATACACATATATATGTTTATATATGTATGCATATATATATATATATATATAGGTTTATATATGTATATACATATGTGTTTTATATATATATATATATATATATATATATATATATATATATATATATATATATATATATATATATATATATATATATATGTGTGTGTGTGTGTATGAATATATTTATATATATGGATATATGTTTTATATATATATATATATATATATATATATATATTGGTGCCTGCGTGTCTGTGTGTGTGTGTACATATATCTATAGTGTTCATCATTCTTCTAAGACAAAATTATTGTTCATCTCAAAGTTAAATTATTTAATTGTTAAGTGAAAACAGATAAAGTTATGCACTGTCCAATTTAAATTTTATGATATCAGGGAAGTTAACTAAGTTATAAAATGTCTAATTTTTTAAAACTATTTAAAACTATTGGATTTAAAACCTAGATATTTTAAACTATCTACTGTAAACATTTAAAAAAACATTTGTGCAGTAATCATAATTAATTTTATTAAGGATTGGTTTTGATATTTTAATAGAGATAGCTTCAAGAATTGTAAGTTTATGTTTATATATATATATATATATATATATATATATATATATATATATATATATATATATATATATATATATATATATATATATATATATATATATATATATATATATGCTAGGCCACAAAAAATATCCTGAGCCCACCAAGCTTAAAAATGGATGCAATATGGGAACCAGAAATTCATACACGGATGTGGCCAAGACACAAAGACCTTGGCTTGATCCAGTGATTAGACCCAGAGTTGTGAGTTCAATACCAGGCCACAGCCGTGGGGAACCAAAAACTTGAAGAAATGAGTTAAACGGAAATAACTAAGACACCCGGAACAGTCATGGAATGGGGAACTAGAACAATCTACCTCGGTGGATGAAATAAAGGGTCCGGTTCAAAATTCCAATCACTTGAAGACGGCCGGAGCGTACAACGGCCGAAACGTTGTGAATATGGCAATGAAGATGAGGATAACAGTACAAATAAGGCAAATAATACCACATCTCAGATATATATATATATATATATATATATATATATATATATATATATATATCGTAATTCATCGAGTCTAGAAGAATCCTACATAGAATGCAGACGGCACTGGACGGTCGTTTCGTGCTATTTTCATCGGCAGTGAGCATCCACTACCACAAGCGTCATAAACACTGAACTGACTTCTGAAGAGTTGTCGCAATATTAGGTCTGGTTTGTTACCTCTCCGTCACCGAGACCCAGATTCTCGGTTCTGGATACGCACTCCTAATGAGACGCCAAAATAGGACGAAACGGCCGTCCAGTGCTTTCTGCATTCTGTTGACGATTCTTCTAAACACCATGAATTATGATTATTCAAATCCCCTTTTTTATATATATATATATATATATATATATATATATATATATTATTGCTTGAACCGGTTTCTAATGCCCTGCTTGGGGATAGAAGACGTGACTTATGGGGGCACAGTCCGTTGCTATAATAAGTAGACACGGATGAGTCACACGACGGAATTTGTGAAGAGCTGGCGCTATATCGAGTCTAGTTTGTTACATCTCCGTCACCGAAAGCCGTTTGTCCAGTGATTATGATGCTTGTATCATAACGTAACGGTCCGGGTTCGATTCTCGGTTGTGGATAGGACGAAACGGCACTCTCTTGACAATTCTTCTAGGTTCGATAAATTAATTATAATTATTCAAATCAATATAGGATTGGTGTATATGGAATAAAGACATTCAACACCATCACTTGATAAGACACCAGAAGTGTTGAAACAAAATGGCTATTTTTGTAGTGATTTTATAACATATTTATGTTATCATTTTCGAATAAATAATATATATATGTATTAATTTGTTTGTTTAAAAGAATCTGTTGGATTTAATCCATTTTCTAATAAATTTGCTTACATTAGGATACGAAATAGAGTGGATATGAATATTTCGCGAATATGGAAGATGTGCGTTCAAAAGCACTATTCGCGTTTTTTTTTTTTTTTTTTGATCATACGAGGCTGAGTAGTTCGAATCCTGCTGGAGGACGCAAAATTATAACAAGATTTCTCGAATATTATAAACAAATATACTGTTTAATAAATAGATAAAAACAGAGCATCTACTCCAATATGAATTTTAAATAAATCATATATATATAGGACCCAAAGAGTGTGATTTCAATACCTGGTTAAGGCAGTGGAGAACTTGGAGAGGGGAATTAACAGGAGATAATTGGTAACTGACATCTATTAGACATGGCACGTATAACTAGAACAGTGTACCACAGTGAGCAAAATAAAGGGTTCAGTTCGACATTCCAATCACCTGAAGAAGGCCGTAACGTTGTGATAAATATGCCAACAAAGATGAGGACAATAGTCCGAATAATGTAAATAGTATATATATATATATATATATATATATATATATATATATATATGGGGGGTAAACATTTTGGACCTGAACATTGGTAGAATGAGTGATAACCTTCCCGTCTAGTTACAATTAACCACTAATAACTCTCTGCCGAATTGTATTTGACATAAAAGTGACTACGAACTAAAGATGATCATTACTATACATCGCTGGCAAAAGACGATTGGCGGTTACAATATGGAAAATATGAAACTTTATTCTAATATATATGCTGTGGTGTTCCGGGTGTCTTTTGTGTTTGCAGCAGTTAGAACTGAATGAAGGCTGTTAATTTCATGCATTCTGTGATAATCAGACTATGTGTAATTTCCTCTTATGAAAGCTCACTTTATATATAAGCATTGCGTGTGTGTGTGTGCGCGTGTGTGTGTGTGCGCGCGAGAACACCGCGGTCAACGCAAGCAGCGATACTCGGTTTCATGCTTGAAAGTAATCTCCAGGCCATGAAAATGAAACAGACTGTCAACGAGTTGACCACAGTGTCCGCTTTTATATTTACATATGCGTTATCTCTGATATTGAGCGCTTTTACCCATAAAATATAGCATACCCTAAAATATATATATATATATATATATATATATATATATATATATATATATATTTGAAATGATCTTGTAACATTTATTTGTTACAAAATTTGAATAAATACTATTAGCTCTACTTGGTAGTGAACACTCTTTTAAGAATAGTGTTTCTGGTTACTGGAATTTTATTTCATATGTACCAACCCTATATACATATACATATATATATATATGACGTCACACATTATGAAATGGACAAAGTTCGACAATTATTTTAAGACATTTTTATGTTTATACATTCTTTTTATAGATACAAATATTTAAGCAAATGCTCTGTTTATGATGAACAGTATTAAACAACATTTACCAGCCTGAATGTCCGATCATATATATATATATATATATATATATATATATATATATATATATATATATATATATATTATGTATGACATTAAGGCTGTTTGTGTGAAGACGGAAGAGGGTGATTGTTCACACCTACATGCACACTCTCCCTGTGTATCTCTTATGCAGCTACACACACATATATATATATAGACTCATTTATTTTTGTGCTCTGATATGCAATACTTTTACATTCATAATTACGTATAA